GTATGTATGAGTGTATGTGTGTGTGTCTGTATGTATATGGGGGGAGGGGTGCTGTGTACATGCCATGCCATACAAAAGGAAGTCAGAAGACAAATTACTGCAGTGGGTTCTCACCTCCTGTTGATGCTGGAGAATATATTCAGGTCTTCTTGGTAGCAGGTGAAGGACCCGGTCCTCACCCAGCCCCTGCCTTGTCAGCCATGACAGGCTGCAGAAAAGACCCAGCAAGACGCAAGCCCCTGACTCAGCAGCACGTGCTGAACCCCCAACCTTGCCCGACCTTGACTAGTCACTAGGAAACAACCTCCAGACACCCTCCATGTGGCAAGGAACCAATCAGAAGTTAGCTGGAGGACTCTGGACGTGCTTTATGGTAACAGTGGAATGCAGGGCGTAACAACCACCCTGGGAAGGCCTCTAGGCATAACAACCTTTCTGCAGCTGCAGCTGACCAGTCAACTGTCCAAGTCCGGAGGTACACTAATCCTGAGACTGTTGCTATGCAACTAGCAGACCCCCAGGCACTCCCCTTGCTCTACCCCAATATATACTTTGCTGCTCTGGGTCCCTCCTGCTCTTCCTGCTGTGTCTGCCGGACTGAGGACCCTAGTTAACTCCAACTAACTGGTAAACTAAAAAGACTCCTTGCTTTTGCATTGGATCTGGTCTCTTGGTAGTTTTGGGGGTTCAGAGTCTGGGCCCCACACAGGCACCGTCCCTTCCTGAGCCTCCTCACCTGGCCCTGCTGTTTACATCTTTAGGGATCTCTATGCCTTTCCTAAAATGGCCATGACGGTCCACTTTCCTGTCAACAGTAATAGAAGGGTAACCTTTTCCTCCACATTCTTGCTAGGCCCCTCCAGCCCCCTAGCTTCCTCTCTTTGTAATAGCCATACTCAATGGTGTGAGGTGGTGTTTTGATGTGTTTTTCATAGTAAACTTGGGATGGGTTGGTTGGAAGGATAATTTTTAAATCTTTAAAAAAGGTGCTCTCACTTATGTAGGTGTTTACTAACATTTATTTTTCAAGGCTGGGATAGAGCTCAGGTCTTTGTGCATCTTAGAAAATCAGTCAACCACGAACCACATCTCCAGCCTAGACAGATAGCCATATTGTGTTTTGCTTTGTTTTGTTTTTTGTTTTACCTGGCAATGGTGGTGCATGCCTTGAGGCCCAGACTAGGGAGGCAGAGACAGGCGGGTCTCTGAGTTCAAAGCCAACCTGGTCTACAGAGTGAGTTCCAGGACAGCCAGAGCTGTTAAACAAAGCAAGCAAGCAAGCAAACAAACAGCCAAAAAAAAAAAAAAAACCAAAACAAAACCAAAAACCAACAAAAAACAAAATAAAAAAAACCTTAAAAAAAGAAAAAATTAAATTTGTTTTTAGACAATTTTATACATATATACAGCACTGGCCGCTCTTGTCCCCACCTTCCTGAACTTCCCTACCTATCCCTTCCTCTCCACCCCATGAGTACCTTTTTCACTTTCTGGTCTATTCATTTTGTTCTGTGATCCACTGAGTTTAACCAGGACCATCAGTGTGACTATGGATTTGGAGCCATCTGTTGAAATCTGGTAGGCTGACCACTGGCTAGACTACTGAGGGACATCAAACCGGCTTTATAAAGGGTCCATATGGTATTTTCAGTTTCCAGGCCATATGCTGTTTGGTGTAATGACCCATGTTTCCTCTTGTAGAGTGAAGGCAGCCATAGACAACATGTAAATGAGGGAGAATGACTCTGTGCCAATAAAGCTTTGTTTATTCAAAGGCTGAAGCCTGGGCACAGCAGGTGACCTTTGTGTATAAAAACTCCAGAACGACTGGGTATTTGACCTATAGGTTGGTGTGCAGCACGTGTGCCATCTACACTGCTTGGTCCTGTACAACCACAGCTTGGTTGCTTGCTCTAGAATTCCCATAGATAAAGCCCCAGCTACACCACAACTATGACTGTAGCACAGATCAGGACCCCCTAAGATGACCCTACAGAGTCATTCCTTAGTGAGAAGCTTGAATTGGATCAGCAATGACCTGTGGAATTAAAGACACAGTTCATTGGTAGAGCACTTTCCTAGAATGCCTGAGACCCCGAGTTATATCCCCCAAAGCACCAAGAGAAAAGCCTTAAAAATGTCCCATTAGACCTGCTCCCCAGGGGGAACCCGGGTCTGCTACTTTAACAGGGTCAAAGCCAATGGCTGGGTAAGCCATAGGAACTGGGAAAAGCCTAGTGTTGTGGTTTTGCTAAATAACATGCTGTCAAACTGTCTTCTTAGAGATTTACGTTTGCACCCATAGATAAGTGCTGCCTTTATTCTTGGTCAGAGAAGCTTCATTCTGCAGTGGCAGAAGTTAGTGCTTTTCAAACTGTTGAGAATAAGTGCACATTTAGTAATCAGCCCTAAATGGGACATCTGTCTATACCTCTCCCCCAAAGATCAGGGAACATTGCAAAAAAAAAAAAGGGATAGAAATATCTGGGTGTTGGTGGCTCATGCCTTAATCCCAGCACTCAGGAGGCAGAGGTAGGTGGATCTCTGTCAGTTCGAGGCCAGCCTGGTCTACAGAGTGAGTTCCAGGACAGCCAGCGCTGCACAGGGAAACCTTGCCTCAGAAAAGGGGTTGTGGTGCTGCTGGTGGAAAGAAAGTAAGAGGTGGAGGACTTGGAGGAGTGCTGAGAAATGTCTTTTGAATGTGTATGATCATTGTATTCATTACAGAGCGACTCTCGTCACCTGCACAAGATCAAGCCAAGACCAATCAACATTGTAACAAGCGTCACTAATTTAACTCAGTGAGTTATTTAAAACACAAAACAAACAGGAGGAATGAAGAGGGATGCGTTGGGAGATCCTGGGGAAAGTGGGCAGGGAGAGTTGGGTCGTGTACGAACAAGATACATTGTCTACATGTGTGAAATTTTTGAAGAATAAATAAAAGAGATATTTCAAAATATCCTTAAATGTGGATGACGTACCCATGCCAATAGGCAGGTTTTAACTTCCTGGATGCTGAGAAGGGAAAATCTTTGAGGCTATGTCTAAATTCTGTAGGAGAGGAGGTATGGCTGGTTAGTCATGTTTGCCAGAGGCACCAGAAGAGAAACAGTGATACATCTGTTAAGCATTTATGCTCCTGTAACAAGAGGATCTCCAGGATGTAGCTTTGACACGGCGTGATAGTATGCCTAGATATTGCTTTGGAAACATTCTTCATGTGGAAAATATACAACATACAGCCACCTGGCACTGAAGTGTGACTTGTACTTTTAGAAATCCTAACACATCTACTTGTGTGTAAGACACAGGTCCTGATTCTCTGCTTATGGTAGACACACACAGAAGGCAGCCGGCCATGGGACAGCGGAAGACAGCAAACCTACAGCTCCTTCTATTTTTCCCACAAGTTAGGCTCAGAGCAAAGACATCAACACATTTCTTCCAAGTTTGACAGCTGTTTATTGAATGCTCAGTACACCAATCAAAGGTTGCTTCCTGTCCTCCAACAAAAGAAATAACAGCTCTTCATCACGGGTAGGAGGAGTATAGGAGCAGGGTAAGTGGTGAGGTGGGGGGGGGGAGGGAGGGAGGGGGAGGGGAGAGGAAGATGGAGGAAGGCACACGGGAGCCCTAAGCTTGGAGAGATAGGGAACTGGGCAAAGGCACAGAGGCAGAGGGGAGGGAGAGGATGCTAGGATTTCTGGGAGAATGATTCCTAGTAGAGGAAATTCATTTATCTGAGGCCTGACTGGGTGGAACCACAAAGAGCCAGAAAACATAGATGTGGGGTTTGACTTTGGTGTCTAAGTATCAGTGTTCTTCGTGTCTCCTCGAGGCATCTGGAGACACCCCTTTCATAGAAATTGGTACCAAAGAGGTGGGGTCATTGCTGTGATAGACCTGGCCATGTGGCTCCTATGCTTTGGACAGGTTTTGTGGGAAGAATGTGAAAGCTTTGGATACCCTGGACTGGAAATGCCACTGAATCCTGGAAATAGAGCTAATAAGGCAATTCATGGTGACCTAGACAATTTAGGCCTAGCTCCTGGGGTTTTGGAGAGGAACAAAGACTCTCCAGGGGCAGAGGTTTTTGTAGATATTTTGGCTAAGAACCCGTGTGTGTGTCCATCATGCTGAGGCTGAAGGAGCTACTGCATGAGAAGGTTACTAGCTGGAGGGGAGGGCCTACTCAGACCCTTAGGAACCAGCTTGTTTTAGTGTGATTGTTTCATGCTCCAATTCTTTGATTTTGAACAAGAGCGTTTATTCTGTGATGTCACTAGCTGTGGGCTTCCTGCCTTGACTCCCCCATGATGATAAGTTGTAAATGGAGCGCGAGAAACTTGGATGTGATAACTAAATAGTGTTGTTACCCTAAACAACTGGGCCCACTGTATCTCTTAGTGTTCCAGAGAGAATTCTCCCATCGCTTGTGCGGACAGATGAGGAGGGATTCTAGCTGCAGCAGAGTTGAGGTCATCCAGGCTGGGGTGCTGGGGAAGAGAAGAGACACAGGTGCAAGCCATTTCAAAGTCAGCTGGAGGGACGTGAGGAGGCTATGAGCCATGGCCAGGATTCCCAGGCAAGGTCAAGAGCAGGAGGACATCAGGCAGGGCTGGGAAGAGGGACCAGAAAGAAAGGACACATTTCTTTTGTTTTTTTTTTTTTCAGACAGGGGTTCTCTGTGTAGCCCTGGCTGTCCTAGAACTCACTCTATAGACCAGGCTGGCCTCAAACTCACAGAGATCCTCCTGCCTCTGCCTCCCGAGTGCTGGGAGTAAAGGCGTGTGCCACCAATGCCAGACTGAAAAGACCCATTTTAAGTTGTGAGTTTTCACAGTGACAGATGACATGGTTGTAAAACCATGAACCATATACTTGGAAGACAATATGGCTGACCTATTCCTTCTAGCCTAGTGCCCAAATCCCACAGTGTTGACCTTAGTGGGAGGTTATTGCGAGTTTCTAGAAATTGTTCAGAGAGCTCCTCCCTCTGACGTAGGAATGGCTTTTTATTTATTTTTGTATAAGTCATGGGAGGAAGAGGAAGGCTTAGTGAGGCAAAAGGAACAGAAAGTTAGCTACGGGAAGACAATCTGAGTCCACAGTAGCAGACAGAGGGAGTCCAGCCTGAGGAAGGTGATGCTGATGTAGTTGCTAATACGCGTTCTACTTTCACTGCCTTGCTCTAAAAGAAGACAAGGATAAAGGAGTGTGATGAATGAGGAATCCAGTAACAATCTTTGAGGAGTGTTGGTGGCTGTCTCTAAGTATCTGTGGGGCAGAGAGAGCACCTGCAGATCTGTCACCGCCCTTTCTTTTATTGAAAATAGAGTTTCTTCCGGAGGGTGCTTTGGATTTCAGGGTTCACTTTTCTTGGTTTCCCCTCCTGAATCACCTCAGTGTCTGCCATCAGTCGGGTTACCTGCAACAATAGGGCGTGGTCAGCTTTGGGGACTGGGCTGCTGGGAAGGCTGGTATCAGGAGAGCACAGGGATGAATTTGCAGAGAAAGACAGGTGGGTATCCATGTCTCGAGACATTAATTGCCGCCTAGTATTCCATAGTTTCTATGGAATCATTGGTTAGCTGGTTTGTGTAGGTGTGTATATATGTTCCTGTCATGCATGTGAGAGTTGTCTGAGAGAGGTGACATTGGGGTGTCTTCTTCCATAATGCTTTATTGAGGTAAGAGTCTCTCATTGAATCAGTACTTCACTGATTTGAGTAGGCTCTGAGCCTCCGCAAGCACAAACATGCATGCACACCCCCATCCCCACATACCTGTTCCTACACACATTTGTACAACACATGAATATGTGAAAATGAAAAAAAAAACTTAAGAAAACATTCCCACATATGGTGAGCTTGGGAGTCCCAATATGCTTGCATGGAGATGAGCGCGCAGAGGAAGGTTGGGAGGGGCTCAGTCTGGGTAGGGGTCCCAGATGACCCATCTGGCTCACCTCCTCCAGAAGCTCTATGGCGGATCCTCTTTTATTTATAAACACCTCCGTCAGGGTCTGGATGAAGCCAGAGCCTTTCTTTTCATGTCTATAGGAGAGGTACCCTGCAAAGGCCAGAGAATTGAGTTTGGAGAAGTCTTCAGAGAGTGGAAGAGGGTCCCTTCTTGATGGAGAAGCTCAGGGGTCAGGTGTGCTGGCTATGGGGTGGGAGGGGGGCATCAGCCACTCTGGGCGCTCATACCTTCTACCGTGGAGAAGACGTGGAGGGCATCCGTGTAGGTCGGGATGGTTTGAGGCCTGTTCTTCATGACCACAGCAACCTGATCTCCACCCATTTCTTGACCAAGGTCTCTGTGCTCTAAAACCAAGGGGAGTAGTGGAAGGAAAGGCCAGGGAGAAAAGTGGGACAGAGAGAAGGCTGTGGAGCAGTCTGGTGGCGTGCTGGGTTCAGCTGGGGCCCTGAGTCTGGGACTAGCCCGGATGAAAAACAGACTCTGGGCTAGAGAGATGGTTGAGTGGTTAAGAGCGTTTACTGCTCTTGCAGGCGATCAAACACCAGCTCCCAGGGCCCATGTAGCTCTGGCTCCAGGGAGCTGCACCCTTTCCTGGCCTCCTCAGCCACCTAAAGTCACACACGCCTGTACTTACATACAGAGACACCCACATACGTACATACATACATACAACTAAAAATAAAATATACCTTAAAAAATGCATGGACTCAGCTAGGCACGATGATGTGTGCCTATGATCTCAGCACTTGGGAAACCAAGGCAGGAAGATCATAAATTTGAGGGCAGGTTGGCCTACGTAATGAGTTTGAGGCTAGCCTGGGATACATAGTGAGACTCTGTCTTAATACCCTTTCACCAAAGCACAAGGAGGCGGTGTCCCGGTCCTCACCTCCTCTGCAGGCCTGAATGATGTACACTTTGGGCTTGCCTCTCAGGGCCTTGCAGTTCTTGTTGTTCAAGACTTCAAAAAGGTCCTCCAGTCTCACCATGTTGCCATCTTCTCCCTCGAGGAGGCCTTCCTCACCATGTGCCATAAGTGCCACGAAAGCACAGCTGACGGGCTCCTTCCGGTTCTCTATGATCTGCTGAAAAGTGTCCAGCTCGTCCAGGAATTGCTTGGGAGAAGAGGAAAGGACCAGCTCAGATAGCTGCCCCAAAGTCTACCTTTTGGGTCCAGCCCCCTTCTCTCCTGCCCTGGAGCTGGCAGCTCAGTACCTGAGCAGTGGGATCTGACTTCATGGTGCTTTCAAATTTCAGGTGCTGGAACATGCGTTCCAGGGCATTCATGTCTTCCTCGGAGCCCTCCCGGGCTTTGGTGACACACAGTGTCAAGGCTAGACGGGCACCCGACATGTCATATCTTTCCTAGGGCAGAGGGACAGAGAAGAAGAAGGTACCGCAGTGAAGTCCAAGGTTAGTCTTGGCAGCTAAAATGAAAGCTATCTGTGGCATTCAAACTTCACTTCAAGGTTTGTCTTTGCCATACTGGGAATTGAACCCAAGGTTTTGCCTGTGCTAGACCCGTGCTCTACCACTGACACAAGATAAAAAACAAGTAGGGATGCATACTTCCAAGCACGGGAAACACATGGGTAGTTCCATACCCATTAGCATATGGAAGGCACAAATGGAACCTGGTGGATTATTACATACATAAAAGAAAACATGAAGTTGGGAGGGGACATATTGGGGACAGCATGATGGCAATTGGGGGAGGGAAGGGGTAGCTGTGATCATGTTTCATTGTATACATGGATGGAATTCTCAAAGAATAAAAATATAAGCAACAGCAACAAACCAAATAAATATTTAGTGTAAGCATCTCTCAAATATTTCATGGGGATGCTTAGACAAGTATGACAGCCCGGCCTTGAGCCTAAATTCAGTTTGCAGATATAAACGAGTGCATGCATGCAGGGGTGAAGGTGGGGTGGGTGGGATCCTGCAGGTCACCTCCAGTCGTCACATCTGGTGGGCTCGACTCTCTCCTGGTCCTTCCAGATAGAGCTCTGAGGGAGTCAGGGTGGTCTGACTGTGACATCTGTCACCCCATTGATCTCCAGGGGTTGGTGGAGCTGGCCTGGCTGCCTCAATAGCTGTCCCCTTCCTCCCTCACAATGCCATGTGTGTCCTTCCTGAAACTGTGCACTCAGTCAAAGAGGAAGGTCTTCCCTGGTTGACACTTAGATCAAAAGTGGGTGAGTAGCTGCACTGCTAGAACCTTCAAATAAGCAGCCAAGGCTCACGGTGCTCTGAGGATTTCGCCATTTCTTGCTTACTCGCAGAGCTCTCAGAATATCTAAAGCCATGACTGGGATCCTATCTTATGCCATCTGAGAAAGAATGGCACTGGGAGGGGGTCAGATTTTCTGTTTTGAAGAGAAGCAGTTGCCTGAGAACCGCAGTGATAAGAGCTTAGGTTTTGGGGAGATGTAGCTGGGTTGCCTTCTCCCTTTCTCCAGCTTGGATTCCATCTCTGGGTGTCTTTTTTGTCACCCTTTCCATTCTCTTGAAACATTAATTTATCACCACTTTCCCACATTCCCGTCCATTCTGTACCATCACCCACCTCCTGCAAGGGCTGAGGACCGCTCATCTCTCTTTGATTCCAAGTCTGGATTTCGGCACCGTTCTCTTGTTCTGGAGGTCAAGACAGCACAGGCTGCAGTGAAGTCCAAAGTTAGTCTTGGCAGCTAAAATGAAAGCTATCTGTGGCACTCAAATTTCACTTCAAGGTTTGTCTTTGTCATACTGGGAATTGAACCCAAGGTTTTGCCTGTGCTAGACCCGTGCTCTACCACTGAGCCGCATCCCCAGCCCCTGACACAAGATAAAAAACAAGTAGGGATGCATCCATCCAAGCATGGGAAACACATGGGTAGTTCCATACCCATTAGCATATGGAAGGCACAAATGGAACTTGGTGGATTATTACACACATAAAAGAAAACATGAAGCTGGGAGGGGACATATTGGGGACAGCATGATGGCAGTTGGAAGGCTGGGGGACCAGGTGGCAGATTGCTTTGTCTACCTTGGCTACAAATAAATAGGCTGAATAGGAAAGTTTCTATATGATTGGACGTGGGCAGGAACTGCTAGTCCCTGGAGTGTGTTTTCTCTAGAGTCTCAATATGGTGGAAGCTTCCATCCATGTTATTCTAGGCCTATCAAAAATGGCATCTCTTCCCTTTAATGCCAGAACCCCAGAGGCACAGGCAGGCAGATTTCTATGAGTTCAAGGCCAACTTGGTCTACAGAGTGAGTTCCAGGACAGTTCCAGGGCTACCCTGTTTCGAAAACCTAAGTGGGAGGTCTGGGGAGAAGAAAGGAAAAGAAGCCATCTCTCTGGAACCCCACTTCCTTCCTCCAGAACATTTTCCTGCCTGTTTTGGGGAAGACTTTTCCCTCCTCATGACTGACAATCAGGGTGAATAGTTCACATACCCCTCTATTATACCAAGGTATGACTGGCTGGAGAGGATTCAGGGTTAGTTTAAACGGAGAATTCCATCAAAGTGAGGGCTGGCTTGATACTGTCCTGGTGGGTCTCTCATCTGAATAGGACAGTCTTTCTCTCTCTCTCTGCCTTGAGAGAGAGCATCTGCCAGCAGTCTTCATCCTTCTCTCTGGCTAAACTGAAGGATGCCTGGCACACGCTGGACCTTTCCTCACACTTCTGTATTGGGATGGAATTCTTACGACTGCAGTGACATAACGTCTGCTACGCCTCCTCTTTATTGCACATTTTTCTACCTACTTACCAATCCACTGATCCACTGTGTATCCACCATCCAGCACATGTCTGTCCTTCTACTCATGCATACATTCATTCATGAATCTACCCATCGCTTGCCAAACATATATTCATCGATTCGCCCACCCACCCACTCATCCATCCATCCACCCATCCACCTATCCACCCATCCATCCATCCACCCATCCATCCATCCACCCATCCATCCATCCACCCACCCATCCATCCACCCACTCATCCATCCACCCATCCATCCACCCATCCACCTATCCATCCATCCATCCACCCACCCACCCACCCATCCATCCATCCATCCACCCACCCATCCACCCACCCACCCATCCACCCACCCACCCATCCACCCACTCATCCATCCACCCATCCACCTATCCATCCATCCATCCATCCATCCATCCACCTACCCATCCACCCAGCCATCCTTGCACTTTTATATCTAATGGTCCAACTATACACTCATCCCTTTAGTTACTCTACTTTTACCCATCAAACTATCACCCATCCTTTCACTTATATGCCAACCATCAATCTATTAGTTGTCTGTATGTCTATCCGTCCTGCCGCTTATGCATCTGCCTCTCCACTCCTCCATTCATCAAGGACATGCTTCCTGACAGTTTACTAAGCACAGGGAAGACATTCCATCAAGTAGACCTTCTCCTTGCCCTTGTGTAGCTCTGTGACAAATAGAACATCAACTCTGTCTCTTATGAAGAGCAATCTCTCTCTCTCTCTCTCTCTCTCTCTCTCTCTCTCTCTCTCTCTCTCTCTCTCTCTCTCTCTCTCTGTCTCTCTCTCCCTCTCTCGTAATGAGGAAAGAGGAGTCAAATGCTGGAATTGTGGAAGTGATAGGAACCCAGCTGGGAACCCGGCTCTGAACCTAGACACAGCAGACCTGACTCTTATCCCTGTGACTCCCAAGGATTTAAGCAGCTTATCCCCTCTCTGAGATTCAGTTTTTTGTACCTGGAAAGGCAGGACCTGTGAACAGCACTAAGTAGTTGAACCATAAAGGTAAAATAAGACAGGCTTCATGATTCTTACTAGCCGCCTGGGAATGCCACTCCCTCTCTGCCTGTTTATACCTGCGTTACAGCGTTTGTGTGTTTTTACAGGCTGCCCATTGCCTATCGCTTTAATGGTCTTCATGATTACATGCATGTAAGGAAGACTGAAAGACCGATGTATTGGCAGGCGAAACAAATTTTACAAGAAAGATCTGCTACTTTGTATATGGTACAAAATATTAGAGTCCTTAGACTAGAACAAAGAAGATGTCATGAACAGGGAGCAGCAGGGCTTCCTGATTCTCACTCCCGAGGCTCAGCTGGCAGCTGGGCTCAGTTTTCATGGCTGATGCCTTTATCTGCGTCTCCATCCTGGCTGACGGTGTGGGTGGAGAGGCAGTGCTGAGGAGAACGTGTTGAGCAAACTAGTAACAAGCAAGTGAACAGATGAGAAAAGGCCTTTGTAGACAAATGGAAAATGGAAGGATGGATGGAAATTTCTTCAGAGAGAGAGAGAGAGAGAGAGAGAGAGAGAGAGAGAGAGAGAGAGAGAGAGAGCGAGCGAGCACAGTAAGTGGTTGGCAAATCCCTCACCAAATGCAGAAGCCGGTGCTCCTCAGGGTCAGGTCCTGGCTTGTCTGTTTCCAAATGGCTGATGCAGCTCTGTCACCAGGAGGAGATAGACCCACGTGCTGCTCTCAGAGAAGGGGAGGGCACACGGAGATCTTCCTGGGTCTTTCCTGAGACCCTGTCTGAGACTGGAGCAGTGCAAGCCCTGACCCTTTATTGCCGGTGAGATTTCTGTCACTCAAGAAACTGGTGACGGGAGGGCCACACCCTTGGCAGCAGGTGTGGAAATAGAATCAAACGCCCATGGAATGAATGAAAGAATGATGGCGTGTCACAGCTGACCCCCCCCCAAGGTGCCTGAGGTATAACATCCAAATAAAACAAACCAGGATCCTTCCACTCACCAGCCTGGGGTCAGCTCAGGTCCTTATTAACTTGCAATATCTATCATTAAGCCCATTTCATTCATTCCACCCCTTATCAGAAAGATAACAGAGGCTTCACTTTCTCAAGGTCTTCGGTCCTTAGGAGTCCTCAGGAGTCCCCAGGAGACATTAGCATTGTCCCTCCTGTTTTGAAGCTGAGGTTCACAGTTGTGCAAATAGGTGACACCTCACCACCACCCAGCCAGCACTTGGCATTCAAACCCAGGACTGTCAAGTCTAGCTACCTCCCTGAGCTTGCAACCTTACGAAGGCAGGGTCTTGCGTTGAACTAGGAACTAGGTTTGCAGCCCGCAATTTCCAGCAATCCTCCTGTCTCTGTCTCCAAAAAGTGCTAAGGCTATAGGCCTGAGCTGGTGGTCCTCCTAGCTTTTTACGTGGGTTCTGGGGATTTGAGCTTAGATCCTCATGCTTGTGTACAAAAAAATTCTTATTTACTGACACATTTCCCCAGCCATGTATTTTAAAGTAATTTTTGTTACATTTATATATATATATGTACATATATATATATATTAATACCATGTCACAGCCGTGTCATAGCGTGTGTGTGTGTGTGGAGCTCAGCGGACAACTTGCAGGAGCTGGTTCTCTCTTTCCACCGTGTGCTCTGAGGGATCAAACTCAAGTCATCAGGTCCACAGTAAGTTTCTTTGTCCACTGAGCCATCTTGCCTCCACCCCCCCCTTTGTATGAATGGCACTTGTGTGTGTGTGTGTGTGTGTGTGTGTGTGTGTATGAGCACATGCACACTAGTACATGTGGAAACCAGAGATCAGTGTTGGGTATCTTTCTCCGTTGTTCTCCCCCTTGGCTTTTGAGATACGGTCTCTCGCTGAACTTCAAGTTCACTGATTCAGCTAGACTGACCATCCAGCAAGCCCCCGGCATCTTCACCTCCCTAAGGCTAAGATTAGAAATGTGCGTTGTTGTACTCAGCCTTTTATGTGGGTTTCTGGGAACTGAACTCAGTGTTTCATGACCGAGCCATCTCTCCATCTCCACTTTTCAGGATATTTCACAGAAAGTGATTCATATTATGGGTATTCTTCTGTGTCTGGCTTCCTTCATTTAGCATAGTATCTTTGAGGTTCCTTTATGTCGTAGTTTTCATCAGCCTCCGCTGCTCTTCACTGAATGCTATCCCACGGAATGAAACCTATCTGATGAAGGACATTAGGAATATTTCTGCCAGGGGAATAGAGAGTTAAGATGATCACAACACATTTGCATACATGTATGAAATTGTCAAAAATAAAAAGATGGAAAGATTCAAAAGAAAGAAAGAATATTTCTGCCTTTGGATAATGAGCACCACACGCACTCATGTGTAATGTTAGGTACACTCATGGACCAGTGTCTGTGTAAGTGCTTGTGTTCTTAGCCCATTCCTGAGGGTGGAATACTGAAACAGACACCTTGTTTTGGTTCTCACAACTGGAATATTCCTGCCCATCCACCTCTCCTGTTTGCTTTGGCATTAAACCTAAGGGAGGTCTTCACAATGTACTCTCCTTTTAAGTTTAATTTTTAAATTTAGTTACTTTTATTCCATCTATTCTCTCCCCCCTCGTGTTCATAAGAATGGTGCGGTGCACGAATGAAGGTCAGAGGACAATCTGTGGAAACTGGCTCTCTCCTTCCACCATGTCCCGCCAGGGATGGAACTCAGGTTGGCAGGCTTGGCAGCCAGTGCCTTTACTCACCAAGTCATCTTGTCAGCCTGTATGCTGTCACTGTGTCTGTACACTTCAGTGATTTCTAATGCCTGTGTTTAGATTATTAATCCCGTTGCTTCAGGGTAATGATTCTCAGGGTCTTAAACACTATTCACACTCACAAGTCATTTGAACTATTTTTCCTCATTGTATCTCTCTATCTGTCTGTCTGTCTGTCTATCATCTATGTATCTATGTATCTATCCATTCATTTATTTATGTATCATCCACTTAATATTTATCATCTATCTATGTATCATCCATTTAATATCCATCCATTCACCCATCCATCCGTCTATCTACATAGACATCCACCCATCACCTTACAATCAATCATTCTATTTTTCAGTCTGTCTATGGAGATCTATAGTACCTATCTGTTTCTGTGGCCTATATTTCTACACATCTGTACACACAATGACATCTGTAACTACTGCGTTCGCTTGTGTGTACCCAAACACTAGACATATAAAGAGTAATATTACTTTTCTCCCCCTCACACCAGTGCTCGCCCCTCTGCTGTGCTGCTGCTCCCCGAGGGTGGATGCTTTCTATGCACTGCACCTTGGGGACAGACCACACCTGTCCTACCTGATTTCTCACCGATGGGTATTTGGGTCATTTCTAGTGTGACTTCAGATTGAGTCACGGAGCTGTGAGTGGATGGCACGAATCTCGGTGAATGCACACATGCGTTTCTCCTGGGAACCCCTTTGTGGTAGGAGCCACTGACAGAGTGGCAGCTGCTTCAGCCTCACACAGAGCTTGCCAAGTCCACAGCAGCCCGGCTTTCTCATCCTTTCCTTCTTGGTCATTTCGGTACACGAGCAACCTCCGGGCCCTGTAAGCTGCACAGTGTTTCACTGAGTGGGTGTCAGGAATTTGTTTAGTCATTGGTCCGCCGATGGACAGTTCAGGTGTTTCTTGTTTTTCTTTATGACAGTAAATGCTGCCATGGGCCAACTTCACACGCACCAGTTTAGACACAAGACTGAGCTCCCTTTCCTTTTTCAAACATGAAAAAATATGTATGCATTTATTTATTTGCGTGTGTATATGTGAGAGGGTGTGTGTGCCACAACTTTTGGGAGTCACTTCTCTCCTTCTATCACTTGGGTCCCAGGAACCTCACACCAGCCATCAGGCTTGACAGCAAGTGAGAGCCTTTCCCTGCTGTGCCATCTGACCTGCCCCTAAGACATTTCTGAAGGAGGGACTCCTAGAAGTAGACTTATCGGTTCTGGTTCCAACTCTTTGACATATTCTGCCTGTCATGGTTCCTCCCCCAGTGCCCTGCCAATCTCAAACAATAATGGGGAAAGAGAGAGACACAGAGACAGATACAGAAACAGAGAGACACAGACAGATAGAGACACACAACACAAGACAGAGACAGAGACAGAGTCTATTTTCCTGCTTTGACATCAACACAAGCTATTCCTGCAAAGTCTGAGTTTCCCTGTGTGTAAAATGAAGGTGACTCTACAGTGCTTTCTCAGGCTCCCATGGGAGACATACAAGGTCACACTTTGGTTTTTTTGTTTGTTTGTTTTTTTTTCATGTTGTAGGCATGCAGACAGGCACGACCATGCTAGCCTCGCTCCCCAATCTTTTCCCATACCCATAAGTGAACAACGTCAAGCTGTCAAGACAATGTTTGAATGTGAGCCTGGGAAGAAGTGGCCTGAAGTCAGGACTGACAGGTGCGTGAGGCAGCAGGGAGTCTAGACAGGCTGTCCCTTGGTAAGGGTCCCGTCTGAGCTGCACCCCCTCTCTTATATGTAAGTATCTAGACAGGAAAAGCAGGTGGCAGGTGGCCGAGCGTGCCGAGATGTCTAGTGAAACCCTGCCGTGGAGAGCAGCGGTCCTCACTGACTTCTCCCAGCCCAGCTGTGCCAAGATCTCAGGAGGTCCCTGGTCCTCTAGTGAGACACATGCCTGCAGTGTGTCAGGGGGTGTGAGAGAGAACCAGTGTCACCATGGGCTCGAATGACAGCTAATCAACTGCCTTAATTGATTAATTACGTTAATAAGGCACCAGAGGGTTGGTGAGTGAGAGAAAGTCTTGTATCATGGAAAGATGTGAGCCCAGAGTCCCAGGGTAATGACGTGGTTTTTGGATGAGCATGGTCAGGGGAGGCAGCTGATGCAGGGGGATGCCAGCAGGGTCAGTAGTAGAGTAGCCATAGAGCTAGGGAATACAGTGTAAGAGGATGGTGGTGTTAACTGTCTGGACAGAGAGGGGCTGTAGTGTGACACTTCCTGCAGAGACACACACAAAGGTTTATTCACCCCGGTAGAGAATTGAACTTGGTGAAACAATGAGTTTGTTTGGGTCACTGGTAAAGTGTCTGGATGTCTCAAAGGCAGCTGCAGCTAGAAGCTCATCGCAGCCTGGGTGATGGCTCATGACAACTGCACCCTGGAGCTTCCTGTGTGACCTGCAGGCAGCTTGACAGGTGGAGAGTGTCCTCTCCCTGGAGTCCTGACTGCTTACAAAAACTTATGGAGGGAGGTGTCCTGGGTCTCCTGTCAGTTTCAGGGATGCATAGCGAGAAGCTGCCTCAAAATGCGGGGGGTTGGGAGTGGGAATGAGGCTCGGACCCATGCCACTATGTGAATAGACCTTGAAAATACGCCGAGCGACAGAAGCCAGACCCAAATGCCCATGTTGTTATTGTGTGTTGGTCGAATGAAATACTACCATGTGTCATATTTGATATCCAGCATTAGTGGCTTGGTATCAGGAGGAGATTAACATTCACAGTCATAGTCAACATAGTATCCTGAAGCTTTGTACCCTTTGAGTAACACCTAAGCCATAGTGAAATAGGCAGAGACCATCACAGTGACTTGTTGCACGACTCAGAGACAAGGTATATCGAAGCATTGCGTGCTCAAGTGATAGACACATACAGTGATGGGTGTGCATGTCAGCTTGGCTCAATCATGTCACCTCCATCCCCTCTGGCTCATATACCCCCGTGGGTTCTGCATTCAGAATCCCACTAGCTGCTGATTGGAA